CCGCTGAGCAGAGAGCCCGATGCGGGGCTCGATCCCAGGACCCTGGGATCATGACCTGAGCTGAAGGCAGACGCTTAACAACTGAGCCACCCAGGCGCCCCAGCATTTTAATTTCTAAGTTGCCTGTGAAGAAGCTGAAAATATTTTTCAGAAATTGAGTTACAAAAGTCATCTTTCCATGTTGCCTTCAGCTAGACGATAGCTAACCCATTCCAGACTGAGAAAGTTGACTTCGGGAGCTCCTAGATTAATTTCTTCACAGCCTAGCAAAGAAGTAGGTATAGTAACAAAGATGTCTTGAATACTTTGCACCAGTCACTCTTCCAAGCACCTTGTGAGTACTACATACCGTCCTCACAACAATGCTATGAGTCCAGTTCTACTGTTACCTCTTTGTACAGAGGAGGAAATGGGCTGAGGGAGTTTGATGACTTGCCCATGGCAACACAGTTTGTGAATTTGGGGGCCAGGCTCACACTCAGGAATGTGACGCTGCCACCATTCTCTTAATCGCAACACTTGCAGCCTTGTGGTATATACTTCCCTGGGCCATTTGTACACAAGGATTCTGAATTTCATTTTCCCAGAAGTGGCCAGTTGCTAAGCGTTGCCTTAGAAACTGGAGTTCATTGTTTAGGATGTAAATTGTGTTTTGTATCAAGATGCCTTAGGTTTGAAAGCAGAATTGACCCTTCTGAAGCAATGGGTTCTTGTTAGCTCTGATTTCCTATTTACCAGATGCTCCTTTAGTTGTGGAAGTAAGCAAGGGGCGAGCTTGTTTGATTTTTAGATTGAGCTTTCTTGCACCTGGATTAGAAGCTCAGCAGCAGAGGAAGCAAGTGAGTAAGGGCTCCTGTGCGCTTTGGGGGAGGGTCTGCTTTCTTGGTAACGCTGCATTAAATAAGAAAGGCATCCCCTGCTCTGTAGGTGACACCACTTCAGTACATTTCCTTCTCCACTTATTGACCACACGAGAGGATGGATCAGCAGCCTGGAGACTGGGAAGCCCTCATAAGCCCGAGATGGTTTTTTTGGCTTAGGGGCTGGCTGCAATAATAAATAAATCTCAGAATTGTGAGTTTGCATACCCTGAATGCTATCTGTTCTCACCGGCCTCCAGCAGGGAGAATCGCTGGTGACCGAAGATCGTCTTTTCCACTGCCCCTGTTCTTCCAGTAGATTAATCCAGTTGGAGAGCTGTGATTTTGGCTTCTAGAGTCGACATGCTATTTCCCATCTTACTGTTGAACAAGGAAGGAGATACAGGTTAAGAATTCAGATTTCTTAAAGATTGATGAGGAGCTAGAAAGGTTAAGCAGCTTGAACAGACATGGAACAAGTTGGTTATTGATTTTTCTGCTTCTTTCCCTTTTGCTTTTCATTCCATTTCCCATTCTGATCCCCTCCCCCAATCCCACCTATATTTCCAACCAGGTATATCTTTGCGAAGAATCTTTTTGAAAATGGTTCCCTCAATAACATCGAATGGCATATCTATCAAGACTGGCATTCTTTTCTCCTGCAGGAGTTTGCCAGCCAGCTCAGATTACATGGCTTCATCTACCTCCAGGCTACTCCCCAGGTAATGCGGAACATCAAGCCTTAATCTTCAGGGCTGTCTGAAACTAAGAGGTGACGTTCTCCAACACCCGATTTTCTGGTTGAAGAAAGGAGATGGCGGGTATTATGTGGAACATGGAGAGCAGTGTGGGTCACACCCTCCCCTTCTGGCATCGAGCACCCTGTTTCCCACAGGCTTTCTGTGGCAGAGGGCTAAAGCGGATGACTGATAGAAAGGGTCCCTCTCGATGGAACAACAACATAGAGAAAATCGGGCATTGTCTTTTTCAGCCAGGGTTTGCAGATTGGCTCCTCTGGCCAGGTTACCTGTAGCCAACTGCTTCGGCTTTCCCTTTCCTCCAGCTGGGTCCTCAGAGTCTGATGGTCTTGATGGTTTCCTGAATAGGATGCCGGGAGGAAGTGGAGAGTTTCCTTACCCCACCCTGATACTAGCATAATTTACAGCTAGCTGTCTTTTGAGCCTTAAGGGTACCACTGGTAAGTCAGGATGGACTACAGAAGTTACATTCCTTGACTTTCTGACTTGGACCCTGGAGCCAGCCTCATACAGAATAGGGTGATGTCACGGAAGAAGTCTCTGACTGGCAGTGACCGTGGACAGCTCCTAGCAGCCTTTCCCATGGAAGGGTCCTTGCTGTCAAATCCAGTGGCTCAGGCTAGTAGTCTCTAAGGGCTCTTCTGGAGTGGGATTCTGAGTCAAGGCTGGAGGTATTTTTTGAGAGGTGTGTTGCTCCTGGCTTTTGATTCCTACGTAATGGGTGGTCACGTGTCAGGTATACTGCATAATCTTAGGAGGAAAGCTCCCTTCGGATGGGAGGCCACACTTTATTCAGAGACAGGCCTGAGCCTTGTGGATGGAGCAGGCCTGAGAGCAGCCCAAGCAGGGCCAAAAGATAGTGGGGAGCCCAGCACATGGGCTTGTAGTAGCTGGAGAGAAGAAGGCCGGCAAGAAAGTCTTCCTCACTTTTTTGTGCACTTGGAATGACTGTGAGAAGGGGACAGTGATGATGACAACAGTGGTGGCGACTATGATGACGATGGGATGTGACTGATGTGTCTTCACGGAGAGACTAGCCGAGGTCTTTCAGCTGGGGTAGAATGAGGGGGTTTGAAGGGCTCTTGCAACTTAATGGTAGAAAAAGCAAAAAAGCTTTAAGACTGGATGGGGATTTTGATGCTCTTTCGACGGTTTTAGAGCCAGAGACCCAGGAATGCTGATATCCTTCCCCAGAGTCACCCCTGACCCCTTCTGGGAGATTCAGAGGTAACGATATCCAAGGGAAGAGCAGAACAGAAGTGAACCACATCTCTGTGTGAAAAGCCATGCACTTGCCCCCATATTCTAATACAGAGCCCTGGGAAATACTGGGTTTAGAGCTTGTGAGATGGACCTAAGGAGGGCATTTTGCTCCTTTCTACCTGCTCTTCCCTAAGTTCTAAAAAGCAAGCAAACCAACATAAAAAAAATCAGTCAAAAGAGAGATGTCTGGGCCTCAGTGTCCCCACCCAGCCCCATGGAATCAGGAAGACTGCACAGCCAGCCAGGCCTTGCCGGGGACTGTTGGCGGCATGGGGTTTGGGCTTGGGAAGCACAGTGGCCAGACCCACCAGCAGAGTCGCAGTCCAGTTGCCGTCCCAGCAGCCACTCCTCCTGGGCTGGTTGGTGAAGGGGGCAGGTCAGCAGGAGGGTCCCCCCTTATCATTCATAGCCCCACTGTCTTTCTTAGTCACACTCAGGTGTGTCCTCCCCATGACGACTGATCACAGCACACACAGGACTAGAGCACTGCTTGCACAGGACTTGTTAAAGAATTTGTTGTAACCCAACAGTAAAACAAGGATTTTGCCAAATGCTCAAAATGGGAGCTTACCTATTAATCCTGCTCCTTGGAATTTGCTCCATAGATATGCTCCCACACGGGCAAAGTGGCTCCTATGCAAGCCAGCACTGTTTGTAATAGCAGCTAATTGGAAACGCCCCAGGCGGTCACCATTGGGCCAGTTGAGTGTATTATGCTCTGTCCATACACTGGAAAACTCTGACGCCGTAAAAATGGGAAAGCACTATACTAACGGAACAGTCTCTAAGACATTATTAAGTGAAGAAAAGCTGGCACAGTGTGTGTGGTGGGACACCTTTTACAAGTGTGGTGTTTTTTTAAAAGGTGGGGTGAGGTGTATATGCATGAAATACTTCTGAAGGCACGCAAAGAGTTCCCATCGGTGGCGGGTGGCACGGAGGACTGCACTGCCAGAAGCCGGGGCTGGAGGGCCGTGTGCTGGGGGGGGCAAACAACGGGAAATGTTTTGAAGCCCTCAGCAGTGAAGGTGGGGTGTGGGAGCAGAAAGAGAGGGAAGAGAAAGCAGGTTCATGGTGAGGGAAAGTAGAAAAGGAAAAGATGAAAGCAGGAGGCAAAGGTGAATGGAGCTGGGGGATGAGGTCAGAACTGCAAGCCACGAATGAAGGCGGGCAACAGACACTTACCACGGGCTCTGCCGGCCTAGTGCTCAGCCCCGAACAAGACAAGACTGTGGCCCCCAGCCGCCGTGCCCCCTGTGCACACCTCCCTCTGTCCCCTGCTACAGTGGAAATGCCACCGGTGGCCTGTGTTTCCCCAGGGCCCACCGAGGTGCTGGGGAGGTGGTACCAGAGATAAAGGGGGAGCTCCTGCCTCCTCCGGGGAACGCCTCTCTGACCGCTGGGACCCAGTGGCTCCCTCCCTTATCTGGACTGCTGCCCTAAAGGTCCAGACCTCACAGTTTAGCACTTGATGCACTGTTTCGCATATTGTTTTATTTATTATCTAACTAAATTGTAAAGTCCCAAGGATAAGGACTTGATCTAAGTTTGGGATGATAAATGATTAGGGGAGAAGATTAGTGAGGAGTTAAGTGCTAAAAGTATTAACCTGTTAGATCTGTCTCCGTTAATCAATCTGAAAAGTTGGACATAAGCTCATAAATGAAATTTGTTTACATGATTTTGTCTCCTTAGAGGAAAGGTGGGGTGCACAGCACGGACTCTGCATCTTCGGGAATATTGTGTGCTTCATTTGGGCCTAAAGTTTACATTGGGAATAAAGTTAAGTGTTTGAAAGAGGGTAGTCCTAGATCAGTGGATTAATCTACCTGTTCTTCCCAGGACAGATGATATTGAATGATGAAATGTTTGCCAGTTAGAGAGAGGAAGGGAAGCAGTCAGGCAAAAAAAACATTGGGAGCAGAAGTCTCAAGGCGGGAAAGAGGTCGGCCTGTCCCACGGGTCCAATCTGGCGGCCTGTCCCACGGGTCCAATCTGAGTCCAGGCAGGTGCTAAGGAAGTTGAGGGTGGAGGGGTAGGAGAGGTGGCCAGAATCCGGGACAGCCTTGTGTGGCAGGTAAAGGAGAAGATGACATTCTCTGAGCCAGCGTGCTTCAGACTTTTGTACCAGGTGAAGGCAGAATGGAATGATGCCCTCTTTGGAAAGGGGGAGGGAAGGAGAGTTAGTCTTAAGCCTCGCCTTTTTTTACTTCTTGGTTTTATCTTTGATCTATGTAGGGTTTGCCTTCTGCTCCAGAGTCAGTGAGTGACAGGCTATGAAAGACATGTTTCAGATTACTTACCATTTTGTAAATGTGATGCTTACCATTTTGTAAATGTGATAATTCCTTGAACCTGGGGCTTTATGGCTACAGGCAGTAGGGAGCCTGGGAGGTGTTTGCAGCGAGGAGAGTGCTGCGGTTCTCTTGGATCACTGTGGAAGGGTGGGTGGAGGCGGCTCACTGGGAGGGGAGAGCTGCTGTGGCCAGGAACTTGACACACCTTAACCTTGGTGAGTCCTCTCAGCTTCCCGCGGGGTGAGTGGAGGGGAGGAATGGGAAGCCCATAAAGATTGCACCACTAGTACATGGTGAAGACAGGAAGTGAATCGTGGGTTTTTTTAAGGCCTGTGCTAATCCCATGCACTCACCGCCTCCAGAAAGAGAGCCAGAGGTTCTTGCCATGGTTTAGGTGAGAGGTGATGAGGACCTGAGGAAGGCAGAGGTGAGAGAGATTAAAAGCAGGGTAATTACAGCTTCCCAGGGTGGATGAAGTTTGCAGTTAACCTGTGATTGAATAAGGAAACAAGACCGGAGAAGTAAGGTCGTGGCTTATCACTCCCAGATGTCACGAGTGGGTCCCCGAGCCCCCGAGGACCACATCGTCACAGCCAGGATAACACATGAGCTCAGTGTGGCCTGGGGATTGTCTTTTAGGTTTGTTTGAAGAGACTCCACCAGAGGGCCAGGAAAGAGGAGAAAGGAGTTGAGCTGGAGTATCTCAAACAGCTTCACGGTCAGCACGAAGCCTGGCTTGTTCACAAGACAACCGAGTAAGTGGAGAAGACAGTACCACACAGACACCTGCCTCCCTACAGCCAGGTGCTCAGACACCAGCTCAACAGGCAGCCCCATAGGAAGGTTCAGATGTACAAAGTGGTTATAAATCCAACTGAGAAACTCAATATGAGATACAATGTGTATATTCTAAGAGGCATTTTATTAGGTTCTGTTTCTCCAGCTTTTTTGTTTCCCTAGATTGAACATTGTGATTGATGATGGTGATAGAGTTGACCCAGGGTGAAGGGCTGAAAATTTTTAGAGAAATTGTCCATTTTACTAAGTTGACAGTCCTGATTTTGGCCTTTCCTCCCTTTGGGCTTGGTATGTAGTCCACTTAAAATGTTTGGGGCTCTGACCTTCAGTATCCATCTCAAGGCTAAAGAGAAATTTCAGCCTTCCTCTTTGTAGCCAACTTTATTAAGTTCTTTTTTTTTTTTTAACTAATTTACATGCAATTTCATTGAGAAGCCATGTGACTTTAGATCTGCTCTATGGATTATTAAGATGTCGTGAGTATGTGAAGGTTGATTCAGCTTTCTTTTTTCTGTCCCCTAAACTTTCATGCTTCTTACAGGCTCCATTTTGAGGCTCTGCTGAACATTCCAGTACTGGTATTGGATGTCAATGAAGATTTTTCTGAGGAAGTAACCAAACAAGAAGAACTCATGAAAAAGGTGGAGGAGGAGGACCTTAACTCCTGCTTCTAGTGATTTTCCTTTATTGCACTTTTATCTTTGCTTCAGACTTCAATGTAATGGGTCTTGTGCTTTGTGCTTCAAATTGCATTTCACACTCCAAAGCCTGCGGGACCTTGTACAAGTTACAAATATCCCTATTCTCTAAAGCATTTTGGGCTAATAATTGTTAAATAATTGACTTCCCAGCCAACTTCTCCTCAAAGGTATTTTTGAACTGGGGAAATGCAATTTCTGGATTCTCTTCCCAGCTCAGCCACTTCCATAATATGACCCTGCGCAGGTCCTATTTCCTCCCGATTTTTCCTAACTCATAACACCTGGGCGTGGTTGCATACCAGTGTGGGTGGACTATTAGAGAGTCTGCGGAAAATGTGAAATTTAACTTCTGGTTTTTCTCTTTCCCACAGGTAAACACCTTTGTAAAGAATCTGTAGCCAGTACCGGCTGTTCTTGCCGTGATCTGGGCTCTCTGACTTTCCAAAGCTGGAAAATTCCTGAGTCATGCACCTTGCCATCTTCTTTTACCCCTGGGGTCCTCTCTGACACTCAGGTCCATGGTTTGTGTTAGCCTTCGACTTCGCAATTATTGTCTTTTATATCTCAAGGACTTCTAAAATAAAGTGGAAGTTTTGCTTCCTTTGCTAATCCAGTTGTCGATTTATCTCTTGGTCCTTGCTCTGAATTCCGCTCTAGACGAGCCATTTTCACTTGAGGACAGCCATAGCTTTTCTTCTTGACTCCTTCGCCACCCAGACTTCCTGTGTGCTCACTTGTTCCCTCTGACATGCCCGGGCAGGAATTGTCCCCAGGATTCCCAACCAAGCCCTGCCCTGGGCACGAAAGGGAAGTACAGTGGCTCAGGAGAGGGTGGGCACTCGGTGCTAGCCCCCAGAGCTACGGAATGGAACCTGAACTCTAGGGTGTTCTTTCTCTCTTCCCATCCAGCACTCTTGCTAGGGGGCATGGGGTGGTCAGACCTTTGTGCTAGAGCTGAAGAACCTGGACCAAAGGGAGAAACCGAATCAGGAGCCCCATAGTCCAGCATCTCGTGTTTAGGGTTCGGTCATCCTGGCACTCTGGCCTGCCCTAAATACTGTACCCAGTGAGTGTCAGGTGATCTCAATGGAGTGACTGCTGGAAAGACAATTTTTCGTGCTGCACTTCAGGCTCCGAGGACAATTCATTGTTACGAGAGAAAAATGCATGGCTCTGTAGAATTGAAGTGCTCCATTGCAAGAAGCCTGCAGGTCCATGATTCCCCAGGAGCGGGATTCCTGCACTGAGCCCTTGACAGTTGTTCAAGCACACAGGAAAATGAATCAGCTTGGGTGTCAGTGTCCCCGAAGACAGGAACCTGTGTCTTTCTTTATGTTTGGGAAAACAAGTGTGAGATTAGCTTCTGACAAATGCATGCCGTTGTGAAATAGAAGCACGGCATTTCTTTACTACTTAAATTTTTAACAGCTTTATTGAGATATAATTCATGTACCATACAATTCACCTAAGGAAAGCGTACAGTTCAGTGGTTTTTAGTATAGTCCATAGAGTTGTGTAACCATGACCACAGTCAGTTCCAGAATGTCTTCAGCACCCCAAGAAAAATTGCCACCCAACTAGCAGTCGCTCCCCGTCCCCTGTCACCCGCCTTCTCCCACCCCCAGTCCAGCTCGAGGCAGCCACCAATCGATTTTCTGTCTCTAGATTTGCTTCTTCTGGATATTTTATATAAATGGAGTCACATAAGATGTGGCCTCTTATGAATGATTTCTTTCACTTTCAAGGGTTTCAAGGTTCAGCCATGTTGTACCATGCATCAGTACATCATTCTTATGACTAATATTTCATTGTATGGATATACCACATTTTGTTCATCCATTCACCTACTGATAGACATGTGGATTCTACTTTTTGGCTGTTATGAATAATGCTATGAAAATTCATATATAAGTTTTTAGATTTTAATTTTTCTTGGGTATATACCAAGGAATGGAATTACTGGGTCAAATGGTAACTCCATGTTTAACTTTTGGAGGAACTGCTAAACTTTTCCAAAGTGACTGCACCATTTTACATTCTCTGGAGCAATATATGAGGGCTCCCGTCTCCCCAGGTCTTTGCCAACACTTGCTCTCATTTTGATTATAGCCATCCTAGTATCCTGTCATGTTTTGATTTACATTCCCTGATGGCTAATGATGTTGAGCATCTTTTCATGTTCTTACTGGTCATTTGTATTTCTTCTTTGGAAAAAACCTCTTCAAATCCTTTGTCCTTTTTTTCAGTTAGGTTCTTTGGCTTTTTACTGTTGAGTTGTAAGAGACTTTAGATATTCTGGATACAAGTTTTTAGCAGAGACATGATTTATAAATATTTTCTCCCATTCCGTGGGGTGTATTTTGATAATGTGCTTTGAAGCACAAAAGTTTGTAATTTTGACGAGGTCTAGTTTAGTCACTTGTGCTTTTGGTGTCATGTCTAGGAAAGTTTTGAATAACCCAAGGTGACAAACATTTGTTCCTGTGTTTTCTTCTAAGAGTTGTATAGTTTTGGCTCTTAACATTAGGTCTGTGATTGATTTTGAGTTAATTTTGGTGTGTGGTGTAAGGAAGGGTTCAGTTTCATTCTTTTGCATGTGCATATCCAGTTGTCCCACCATTAGTTGGAAAGAATATTCTCTTCTCCCACTGAATTATCTTGTTACTCTTGTCGAAAATCTGACCCACTTGTACTTGCGTCTGTTGGCTGCTTCAGGCTTCGGACAAGACCACGGATGAACATAAGATGTTAGGTACGTTTTAGAAACTCAGTGGTTTTGGTTCTTTAGCTTTGAGGGGCCCAAATGTTTAATTCTCATTTTCCAGGAACCACTAATGTAGAAATCACCTGTAGACCCAGGATAAGAGCACGAGGCCCCCACGCTTCACTCAGTTAATCAGTCGTCAAACACTTGTATCTGCTGTCTGCTGGAGACCGAGGAGATAACAGTGAGCATGACAGAAGGCAGACCTTGTCCTTACCCTACAGAATTCATCATCTAATGGCGAACGTGAAAGACACTGAACAAGTAATTTCAGGTGTGGTGAGTGGTCCAAAAGGAGAAGTACAGGTGTTGGGGGGGGCCTAGGACAGAAGGAACTAACATAACCTGGGACAGCCCCCCTAAGAAAGTGACAGTTGATCTGAATTCTGAGGAATGAATGGGGCAGGGCATTCAGGCGGAGGGAAAAAGTCACATGCCAAGGCCTTCGTGTGAGAATGAGGCATTAGGCCCAGGTTGTCAAAACCAGATGAGTCTGGCGGTTTATCACTTAGGAATACACTGCTATCCTTCACACTCTCCACTTAGCCTGAAAACCCGGAAATCCAGCGTTTCTTTCCCTGTGTACACTTAGCCCTTTAGAAAGTGAATGTTCTGTAAGATAGTGCCATCAACAGTCTCACTGGGTGAAATAATTTGCCATTTTCCAGATTGGTGGCTGAGAAAGTGGTTTAGTGATGAGCTGTAGTTCTGGACCTTAAGCATCCGAGGAGGGGTGGGTCTGGGAGGGGTGTTTAAACACAGAGACCAGGGCGCCTGGGTGGCTCAGTCGTTAAGCGTCTGCCTTCGGCTCAGGTCATGATCCCGGGGTCCTGGGATCGAGCCCCGCATCGGGCTCCCTG